CCCTGGCATTCGCGGCTCTCCTGGATGTACTCCCAAAGCCTTTGCAAAAGGTTTCTGGGGAGGGCAGCCTTATTGCGTCCTCCATGGTAGGACACTTTACCACTCCAGGCCAGTAACACGTACTCGGGAATCACTGTACAACAAAGCATTGCAGTGCATGTTTGCTGGCATTCAAACAACATCCGTTCTTTATCTCTCTGTGTTATGCTCAGGAGAGTGAGATATCATTCATGGTCATCTGATTGAAAAAGGGTGCTTTTCTTCAGGGGACACTCAGAGGTGCCCGTTCCTGCTGGGCTGTTTGCCTGTGGCTGAACAGAAATGTTCCCCGCTGTTAGCCACGGGGAGGGGGGAGGATTGAGGGGGTAGCCACGCGGTGGGGGGAGGCAAAATGTGACCTTGTAACGAAAGCACATGTGCTATGTATGTAATGTTAACAGCAAGGTTTACCCTGAAAGAGTGTAGCCACTGTTTTATAAAATGTGTCTTTTTAAATACCACTGTCCCTTTTTTTTTCTCCACCAGCTGCATGTGTTTCAATGATCACAGGATCCTCTCCTTCCCAGAGGCTAGTGAAGATTAGAAAGAAAAAAAAACGCACTCGTGATGAAATGTTCTCTGAGCTCATGCTGTCCTCCCACACTGACAGAGCACAGACGAATGCGTGGAGGCAAATAATGTCAGAGTGCAGGAAAGCACAAAATGACCGGGAGGAGAGGTGGCGGGCTGAAGAGAATAAGTAGCAGGCTGAAGAGAGTAAGTGGCGGGCTGAAGACAGGGCTGAAGCTCAAATGTGGCGGCAGTATGATGAGAGGAGGCAGGATTCAATGCTGAGGCTGCTGGAGGACCAAACCAGTATGCTCCAGTGTATGGTTGAGCTGCAGCAAAGGCAGCTGGAGCACAGACTGCCACTACAGGCCCTGTGTAACCAACCGCCCTCCTCCCCAAGTTCCATAGCCTCCACACCCAGATGCCCAAGGATGCGGTGGGGGGGCCTCCGGCCAACCAGCCACTCCACCACAGAGGATTGCCAAAAAAAACAGAAGGCTGGCATTCAATAAATTTTAAAGTTGTACACTTTTAAAGTGCTGTGTGGCATTTTCCTTCCCTCTTCCACCACCCCTCCTGAGCTACCTTGGTAGTCATCCCCCTATTTGTGTGATGAATGAATAAAGAATGCATGAATGTGAAGCAACAATGACTTTATTGCCTCTGCAAGCAATGATCGAAGGGAGGAGGGGAGGGTGGTTAGCTTACAGGGAAGTAGAGTGAACCAAGGGGCGGGGGGTTTCATCAAGGAGAAACAAACAGAACTTTCATACCGTAGCCTGGCCAGTCATGAAACTGGTTTTCAAAGCTTCTCTGATGCGTACCACGCCCTCCTGTGCTCTTCTAACTGCCCTGGTGTCTGGCTGCGCGTAACCAGCAGCCAGGCGATTTGCCTCAACCTCCCACCCCACCATAAACGTCTTCCCGTTACTCTCACAGATATTGTGGAGCGCACAGCAAGCAGTAATAACAGTGGGAATATTGGTTTTGCTGAGGTCTAAGCGAGTCAGTAAACTGCGCCAGCGCACCTTTAAACGTCCAAATGCACATTCTACCACCATTCTGCACTTGCTCAGCCTGTAGTTGAACAGCTCCTGACTACTGTCCAGGCTGCCTGTGTATGGCTTCATGAGCCATGGCATTAAGGGGTAGGCTGGGTCCCCAAGGATAACTATAGGCATTTCAACATCCCCAACTGTTATTTTCTGGTCTGGGAATAAAGTCCCTTCCTGCAGCTTTTGAAACAGACCAGAGTTCCTGAAGATGCGAGCGTCATGTACCTTTCCCGACCATCCCACGTTGATGTTGGTGAAATGTCCCTTGTGATCCACCTGAGCTTGCAGCACTATTGAAAAGTACCCCTTGCGGTTTATGTACTCACTGGCTTGGTGCTCCGGTGCCAAGATAGGGATATGGGTTCCGTCTATGGCCCCACCACAGTTAGGGAATCCCATTGCAGCAAAACCATCCACTATGACCTGCACATTTCCCAGGGTCACTACCCTTGATATCAGCAGATCTTTGATTATGTGGGCTACTTGCATCACAGCAGCCCCCACAGTAGATTTGCCCACTCCAAATTGATTCCCAACTGACCGGTAGCTGTCTGGCGTTGCAAGCTTCCACAGGGCTATTGCCACTTGCTTCTCAACTGTGAGGGCTGCTCTCATCTTGGTATTCATGAGCTTCAGGGCAAGGGAAAGCGAGTCACAAAGTTCCATGAAAGTGCCCTTACGCATGCAAAAGTTTCGCAGCCACTGGGAATCGTCCCAGACCTGCAACACTATGCGGTCCCACCAGTCTGTGCTTGTTTCCCGAGCCCAGAATCGGCGTTCCACAGCATGAACCTGCATGCATGCATTGGCAGGGCCCATGCTTTCAGAGAAATCTGTGTCCATGTCCTGATCACTCATGTGACCGCAGTGACGTTGCCTCCTCGTCCGGTATTGCTCTGATAGGTTCTGGTGCTGCATATACTGCTGGATAATGCGTGTGGTGTTTAATGTGCTCCTAATTGCCAAAGTGAGCTGAGCGGCCTCCATGCTTGCCTTGGTATGGCATCCGCACAGAAAAAAGGCGCGGAACGATTGTCTGCCGTTGCTCTGACGGAGGGAGGGGTGACTGACGACATGGCTTACAGGGTTGGCTTACAGGGAATTAAAATCAACAAAGGGGGTGGCTTTACATCAAGGAGTATTTCAGGCAGGACTTCACGGAGGGTTCCAATAAGAAATGGTGCACCTAAGTAATTGTTCTTATTGGAACAAGCAGGTTGGTCTGGCCTCTGATTGATACATGGCTCGATTTACCTCGCTGCACCTTCTCTGTGAGTGACTGCAGTGTGACCTAAAGGAATGAGTCCCCTAGACGGGTTGGGGGGGGGAGCAAATGAGTACAAAACAAATCTGGTCTATTTCTTGTTTTGATCCACTCCATCTATCTTTTACATCTTTGGCTGGCATCAGACGGTGCAGAAGGACTGCAAGCCATCCACATCTCATGGCTGCTCGGCAGAAGATGGTGCAGTAGGACTGCTAGCCATCCTCATCTCTTGCCTGCCTGGCAGAAGATGGTACGGTAGGACTGCTAGCAATCCGTATCGCCTGCCTGCTCACCATAAGATGGTTCAATAGGACTGACTGCAGGACTAAAGAGAATGGCCAGGAGCACCTTGGACATGACGATGACGGCTACCAGTCCTAGTGTACCGTCTGCTGCCACAAGGCAATGGGCTGCTGCTGCTGTGTAGCAATGCAGTACCGCGTCTGCCAGCACCCAGGAGACATAGGGTGACGGTTACCTGAGCGGGCTCCATGCTTGCCGTGGTATGGCGTCTGCACAGCTAACTCAGGAAAAAAGGCGTGAAACGATTGTCTGCCCTTGCTTTCATGGAGGGAGGGAACAGGGGCCTGACGATATGTACCCAGAACCACCCGCAACAATGTTTTAGGCCCATCAGGCATTGGGATCTGAACCCAGAATTCCAATGGGCAGCGGAGACTGCGGGAACTGTGGGATAGCCACCCACAGTGCAACACTCCAGAAGTCGATGCTTGCCTCGGTACTGTGGAAGCACTCCGCTGAGTTAATGCACTTAGAGCATTTTCTGTGGGGACACACACACTCGAATATATAAAACCGATTTCTAAAAAACCGACTTCTATAAATTCGACCTAATTTCGTAGTGTAGACATACCCTGAGAGGCAGTAGCTATGTCGGCAGGAGACACACAGGGCGGTAGGTCTGTATAACTATGTCACTCGGGGTGTGGATTTTTCACACCCCTGAGCAGTGGAGTTATACTGATATAGGTCAGACCTGCGGTCACTTTACTTTTGAATGAGAGCAATCCATGCAGGGGTTTAACATGCTTTGATTTAGCCACATTGACTTAACACCTGTAATTAATTAGGGTTAGCATTCCTGAGGCCTGTTCTTCATTTATGTCTACATCGTTACGCCAGTCAGGGGTGTGATTAAACCAGATCCCCGAGTTCCATAGCTATGCTGACAAAAGCCCCAGTTTAGACTCAGCTGTGCCAACAACAGAGGGCTTCTGCTGATAAAGCTAACATCAGTTGGGGAGTTGGTGTGTCTATAATGGCAGAACTGCTTCTGTCAGTGTACACTGCATTTACACTAGGGTGCTCTGCCAGCATAGCTATGCTGGCATAGACTTTGTAGTGTAGGCATAGCCTGAATTTCCCCAGATAGACACGCCCTTAGTTAATTTGGCTTAACTTCCCATGTAGATAAGCACTGAGAAATCAAGATCTGATATTTCTGGTGTAGAAGTACAAGCAAATTTTTAAAACTTGAGACATTCATCAAACAGTACAATGAACAGGCAATACCAACAAATTTTGCTTCAAGATAGAGTGTATCTACAATAATATCAGTGTTGCTTTAAATAGCAGTTTTCATTATGCAGCTCAAAAGCTTTTAATATATACAGATATTAAGTCTCTTGGGGGGAGGGGGAGGAGCCCACTGGGGTTTATGAAGGAATGTATGGTAACTTTAAGGTTCCTTGGTTTTTGTGGTTAATCATTTCCTCCTCCTCTTCATTCTCCAGAAAGGCAGAGTTTTTTAGGACTGAACATAACTCCACCATAAAGAAACATTGCCAAGTGAAAGCAGAATAACAATCTCTCAAGGGGCTATGGGCCAGCAGCCAACAGATGACAGGTTTGGCAGGAAGTGAATGTGAATTCACTTTAATTTCCAGTGTGGCTCAACTGCTAGAACTCTTGATCGCATTTTGTTTGTTTTAAACAATTACATAATTTTAAAATTCTAGCAAGTGGAGTTGCATTCAATCTTGTGTTACTAACTATATCTATATCTATCTATTTATACAGATATAAATACAAATTACTTTTATTCACATGTAACATTCCAAACAAATATCACAACATCTTGCAGATATTATTACATAATTATATGATGACTCAATGGGGGAATGTTAGGAACTGGAGAGAAGATAATGTGCTAATTATACTGTAAACTAAAGTAATAAAGCTTGTCCTTGATCTAATAGGAACAGGGAAGATGATGGATAAGGAGGCAATGGATTAAAAGCATTAAATGATTCATTAAAACCATTTATTTTCTATACCAAAACACAGTGTGAGTGTCTCTCAACAGCTTGATTAATTCTTACATAAAATATAAATTAAAAATGTAATTGAAGAGTGACAAATATATGGCAAGATCAGAGTATAGTGAGATTGAATCTATCCATCACTGAGTGATTCATTTTAGCCTGACAATATGACAATAGTTCTTGTATGCTGAGTCAATGCTTCCTTTTAATCCCATTGTGTAGAGTTTATACAGTGAACTTTTAAACATTTTGCTGAAACAGAGCTTGCCAATTCTGATGCATGTTTATTTGTTATTTTACTCCTAATGCCCTGCCCTCCGTCACTCCTGAAAAGAGGAAAAAAATTATGATATACAGAAACTTAAGATTCATTACTGCAAAACAAAGAGGCAAACAAAATCCTAAGGGGTCTATTCTCCTCCTCAGGCAGGTGTAAGTTGTTAACATGTTAAGTTATAAAGATGTATAAAGCAGAGAAAAGAACTAGGATCAGTCTTCAGATGTTTTTTAACCAAACCGTAGACATTAAGGGAGAGATTCTCACCCCTACTCCATCCCATTGCTGCCTCTCTGTAAACATAAAAGGAGCAGAAAAACTTACTTAAAAAGCCAGTTGGGGGCTTTTGGAAGGTAGGGCTAGCTGAAGAGTTTTTAAATTGACACTTTGTAAAATTTCAACAAAATAAAATTTAATGAAAATATTTTGATTTCTATAGTGTACGGAAATGCTCAAGTGATGTAAACCTGGTGGAGCTGGCTCTGTGCCACTCACTCTCAAGAGGCTACAGGCCAGCAGCCTACAGATGACAGAATTGTCAGTTAGTGAATATAGTGCCCCACAGCACAGGAATGTGATGGAGCATGGCAGAAATTTGTGGTACTCCAGTGATCCTCAGCTAACAGAACAGTCCCTAGGAAGGCCATTGTAGCAGACCAACCTGAAGGCTGTTCTAACTTATGCCAAGGTCTGAACCAGCATCTGGCTTCCCCCAGGATCAGGGGGCACCTACCTTTACAGCACATGTGTTCCCTCTCCAGGTCCTGCACTGGGGTACAACATGACTGGCCTCAAGGATCTGGCCCTAATAGATTCCAAGGGACCATTGTGATCATCTAGTCTGACCTCCTGTATAACACGGGCCATAGAACTTCCCCAAAATAATTCCTAGAGCATATCTTTTAAGTATATCTAAGTATTTTAGTAAATTAAAACACAGTAGCATTGCAGAAAGTTCTCCCATTGTGGAGTCATGGGGGTAGGCCCCTATTAAACCCTTTTTACAATTAGTGAAACAGGGATAGAAGGAAGAGAGTCAGTGACATGCCCAAGAGAATGCCACATGTCATTGTCAGAGCCAGGAATATAACCATGGAGTCCTGATTCTGAAGTCCCCTGCTCTAATCACTAACTGTCACTACTTCATCAATACTGTGGGAACACCTTTTTGAATATTTAACCAAAACAGAAAAAATATTTTGCATAATGTGTACTCTATTTACCATCCACTATAGAATTAATTAATTATTTTAATGAAACCAATGTCTCTTTGTGTCACTTGTTTAACCTTATTTAGAATACTGCCTAGACTCAAAGCATGTCACATTGGCTAAATACAGCCTTCCCAATGCTTCTGCTAAAGCCCATCTAACCCATTGGCCACAGTCATTCCCATTGTCTGTTTCTATAATGTTCTCTCATCTGAACTTATAGTAATAGGATGCGTCTGAAGGGAACAAGGGGAGATGACAAATGCACATTTGTGTCTCAAATAGCAGAAATTGTCATAATTCTTCGTAATGAACAAAAGGAGAGTGGAAATTGAACCAAAAAAAACCCAAACCAAAACCAAAACTTGGTACTTTCAAAAAGATTACCTTATGATTTATAAATCTATAGGAGTATGAAATAGAATTGTGGGCAGAATATACACAAATAGAGGGAAAAACTCTATGAATAGGCTACTCACAACCAACCTTAGCTCTGACAGGTTGACAAAAGTATTCAACAGAGTGTGTTCCATTTTTTGTAAAGTTTAAATACATAGTTCAAAGATATCTGATTCTGCTGTTGCCCAGAATAAAAGCTTGAAATTGAGGCAAGATAGCCCATCTTGATCTTCAAAATTTAGCACGGTTCCATACTTGATAGGAGGGTGCTTGTCCTGCCAGTTTTAAATGATTTTATTCACATTGTTTCTCTTTTTAATTAAGTAACTGAATATGTAAAAAGGAAAAAAAGATAATGTGGATTAAAATGATAATTTTTACTGAACTGATCTTTCCCAATCAGCTATCTTTAGACGTTTAGACCATTTGTGAAGCTCATTAGATGTCCTTTCCACAGGCGGAATATAATTATCTATGTATAAGTTCTTAACTTTTGAGGTTATAACACCTAAACATTTGAAACTCTTACCAACAGTCTAAAAAGGGTAGTGTCTCTCTGAAATATTTGTTTCTGTTAACTTCCCTCAATTACAATAATTCATTTCCTTCTCTCAGTTATAATAGTTGGTTTCCTATGTTGACCTTAAATTCAGGGCCCGAGACTTTAAGCATTGAAGGAAGAGAGTACTTTGAATCAGACAAAAACATGTGACACTTCATGAACCAAAATTAAGTGGGTCAAATCTCTTACTTACACTCCTTTTCTAAGAATATGTAGTCTCAATATATGCACTAAATTCCTAAAACCTCAAGGAATAGTCAGGATGGTAGGAGAGCAGTCCTGGCTAGTACCTAACTGAAGGTCAAAATAAGGTGAGTTTTTTTTTAATTTCATTTATTCTGAGTGAAGCTTTAGGATATCTGTGTAGAGTATGAATTTATTACAAAAATTACCTTTAAAATCCAGTGCTTCAACATAAATAATCCCAATTTAATTCAAACTTTTTAAAGCCTTTAATGACAGTACATAATTTTAGCTTCTTTTGACTCTTGGCAAACACAGAACTATGCCCCTTAAATCCAAGTTGACCTATATAGATCACTGAGATTATTTTTAAATCTGTTGGCCAATTTAAACTATTTTATAGTGAATTTGGCCAGTAACTAGCACATTAGTCATTAGGTCAACCTTCTGTAGAAGTTAAAACTACATCATTTTCATCAAATGACCTTAAAAGAGTGTTGCATGTTTCACTTCATAAAATGATAAAATACATCCACTGCTTTCCCTTCATAAAAGGGAAAGCAGTGGATGTATTGTTTCTTGACTTTAGCAAAGCTTTTGACACGGTCTCCCACAGTATTCTTGTCAGCAAGTTAAGGAAGTATGGGCTGGATGAATGCACTATAAGGTGGGTAGAAAGCTGGCTAGATTGTCGGGCTCAACGGGTAGTGATCAATGGCTCCATGTCTAGTTGGCAGCCGGTGTCAAGTGGAGTGCCCCAGGGGTCGGTCCTGGGGCCGGTTTTATTCAATATCTTCATAAATGATCTGGAGGATGGTGTAGATTGCACTCTCAGCAAATTTGCGGATGATACTAAACTGGGAGGAGTGGTAGATACGCTGGAGGGGAGGGATAGGATACAGAAGGACCTAGACAAATTGGAGGATTGGGCCAAAAGAAATCTGATGAGGTTCAATAAGGATAAGTGCAGGGTCCTGCACTTAGGACAGAAGAATCCAATGCACCGCTACAGACTAGGGGCCGAATGGCTAGGCAGCAGTTCTGCGGAAAAGGACCTAGGGGTGACAGTGGACGAGAAGCTGGATATGAGTCAGCAGTGTGCCCTTGTTGCCAAGAAGGCCAATGGCATTTTGGGATGTATAAGTAGGGGCATAGCGAGCAGATCGAGGGACGTGATCGTCCCCCTCTATTCGACATTGGTGAGGCCTCATCTGGAGTACTGTGTCCAGTTTTGGGCCCCACACTACAAGAAGGATGTGGATAAATTGGAGAGAGTCCAGCGAAGGGCAACAAAAATAATTAGGGGTCTGGAACACATGACTTATGAGGAGGGGCTGAGGGAGCTGGGATTGTTTAGCCTGCAGAAGAGAAGAATGAGGGGGGATTTGATAGCTGCTTTCAACTACCTGAAAGGGGGTTCCAAAGAGGATGGCTCTAGACTGTTCTCAATGGTAGCAGATGACACAACGAGGAGTAATGGTCTCAAGTTGCAGTGGGGGAGGTTTAGATTGGATATTAGGAAAAACTTTTTCACTATGAGGGTGGTGAAACACTGGAATGCGTTACCTAGGGAGGTGGTAGAATCTCCTTCCTTAGAGGTTTTTAAGGTCAGGCTTGACAAAGCCCTGGCTGGGATGATTTAACTGGGAATTGGTCCTGCTTTGAGCAGGGGGTTGGACTAGATGACCTTCTGGGGTCCCTTCCAACCCTGATATTCTATGATTCTATGATTCTGAAAGATTGTTGAATTGAACAGTCTTTTCAAAACAGTATTTAACTTCCCTGCCAATGGTTTATAAAATTCTGTGGGATAGCACTTGGGTCCTACTTCTTTTCCAAACACATGGCATTGACTACCAGTCTAATTTTTTCTTCAGTTATTTCCATTCAGTAGGTCACATTGGAAAAAATTATATGAACAAATTATATGAACAAAGGGTCCAAAGATTAGAACACCCTAGATTAATATAAAGATCCATGAGCCTGATCCAAAGCCCCTTGAAGTCATCTGAAAGACTCTCAGGCCCAGACGCTAAAAGGTATTTAGGTGTCCAACGCCCATTGATTTCCATGAGAGTTAGGTGCCTAAATACCTTTGAGGATCTGGGCCTTACTGACTTCAGCAGGCTTTGGATCAAGCCCTAAATAACTCTAATATAGTTTTTATTCATATTAATGCCTTGCTATTTGTCATAATTCTGTCTCTTTTAAATTTTGTAAATTATCTACATTTCTCCAGTACTGAATCTTTTTCTGCTTTATTAATTTTGGCAAAGGAAAACTTTAATACACCATTTTAAAGGTTTCCAAAGAGTTGATTTCAGATCCAGTTTTCTGTAATTCTTTTTATAAACAGACTTCTGACCCTTTTACAATTTTTTTTCTAATTCACTGAATCACATTTTTACATCCTGTAGAGAGTCAGTTTTAGTCTCTGATCTTGCAGAGGCCTAAGTACATGCTTAATCTTTTTGGACTACTTACATGTATAAAGTTAAACAAGCCGGTGCTCCAGGCAGCGCAGTAAGGGGGCAGGGAACGAGGGGGAGAGTGTTGGCTAGAGGGCAGGTGAGCTTGAGGGGGTGGTCAGGGGCCGGGTGTGTGGATAGGGGTTGGGGCAGTCAGAAGGCGGGGAACTGGGGGGTTAAATAGGGGCAGGGGTCTTGTGGGGGGCAGTCAGGAAGGAGAGTAGGG